ATGCTAAACCATATTTTCTATTCACACAAAACCCATCACCTGAAAAATCTATTAGCAAGTTCATTGATGAGGACATTCAGGCTGTATGGTAACTCTCATCTTCAACCCTGATGCCAACTCCACACAGGTATGAAGGTCTATTTTGTCAGATCATATTTTGTGAACTAAAAAAGAAATAACATTTCTCCCCCACCCCAGGGTGCTTTCAAAAGGTGGGCTATATAATATTATAGGAAGCAGGGTGGGTGGCATCACAGAGGCATAACAAATGATGTCAAGTGGATGACAGTGTCACAGGAGTGTGGGTTGAATACTGGAAAGTTTTCCATTTTGCATCATAAAGTAGTAAGGTTAAAGAATTTGAATAACAATGAAAAGTTATAACTTCTTTCTACTCAACCAGTACTATGGAAATTTGTTCATTTCTCTGGACAATATTCATCTACCCTCTGCTTATGGTCTCAGAATTCTATCACTCAAGAATTCCTCAGTACTACTTCTATGAAATACCAAAGATTTAGGTCCTTTTGCTATGCCCTAAAAGAAACCAACAGAATGATTCTAAGTGATCTGATCTTGGGGATTTGCACCTGCTTTCAAACTGTTATTGGGGTCCTGGGGAACTCCCGACTATTCGTGGTATACATCTATATCTTATATATTCAGTCCCACCATAAGAGACCCATGAATATGATTATCGTCCATCTGACACTAGCTAATGTTATGACACTTATCACTAGAGGAATTCCTGATACTATGGTCTACTTTGGGGCAAAAAATGTTCTGGATGATGTTGGGTGTAAGATGATCATGTATTTCTACAGGTTGGGCCGGGGACTTTCTATTGGCACAACCTGTCTCCTGAGCATATTCCAAGCCATCACTATCAGCCCCATCCATTCAAGATGGGCATGGCTAAAACCCAGAATAAGCAAATATATATTTCCCTTCTTCTTTTCCAACTGGATCATCAACATGTTGATCTACATCAGTGTCATTGATTCTCTTCAAGCCAGTGAAAATTTCACTGTGTACAAAAAAGGTTATTCTATGAAATACTGCACCACTAAACCAGATATTCATTATATAATTCAAAATTTAATTGTCACAGCCGCAACTGCCCTGGATTTAGTCTTTCTCACCCTAATGAGTCTGGCCAGTGGTTACATGTTGGTATTTCTCTACAGCCATAAAAAGAATATTCAGCACATTCGTAACACCAGCCTCTCTGCTAGGCCTTCTTATGAGGTCAAGGCTACCCAAACCATCCTGTTATTGGTGAGCTTTTATGTTATATTTTACTGGATTGGTTGTTGCCTTACAGTATATTTAATCTTTTCTCCTAAGAAAGATATGGTGTTGGGTGGCATTGGTTCTGTGTTAAATGTTTGTTACCCTGTTCTCTGTCCTTTCATGTTGCCCAGTACTGACTCCCAGGCTGCCAGGCTACCCTGCACCCTCAGTAAAAATCCAGTCCAAAGTCCTCAGTTGAAAAGTACATTGGATGGACAGTTCATTCCATGTTCCACTTCTCCATTAAGAGACTCCAAGTAAATGAATGTGTTCTGGGAATCCTAATGCGGAATGTCTGTGCTCATTGGCAAGGACTTTTTCCAAAAGAGATTAAGAACATCTGTATTTTCTATTAACTGAACATGAAAGTGGTGGTAGTGTTTGTGGTTAGGGGACAATAGTCAGGGGAACAGGGAGAAAGTTGAGGAGCATCTATCATTCCCTACGTAAATGGATTTGATTCTATATTGTGATAGACCATCCAAAATGAACCATGGGACTAAGCTTTTCCATCCTTGAATTCCTTGGGTCCTTGACCTTCCCACTGTTTCCTTGATATTAACCCTCAACCAAAGATAAACCCTATGACTGAGTTCTTCCTCATACTTCTCAGGCACTGGTCAGTGCTGGAGGAAATAACTGAATCTTGCTGACTGTATCTTTTGAATCTCAACTGGACTTGCCCGCCTGCACAGTATTTCTTTCAATAATCTATTTTTGGCTCTCTTTCTCTCTATCTCTAGCTCTCCTTCTCTGTGGTGGTTATTCCATATAGTTTCTTCTTTTCTTCAAGATGCTAATGGTACTTTTTTCTGTCCTTAATCTCTCTAACCTCTCTTCTCCAGCTGATATTGTAGTCTGTATCCTCTTTTGTCTGCCTTTCATACTAGTCTTCATATAACACTTTTTCTCTGTTCACAAAAAAATGAACTCTCTCTAGAAATCACAAAGGCCACATCCTCCAGTGTAGGTTGATTGTGCCTTCTCTCATGCCCTGCCAGATGGGGACTGGGAAAGGAAATGGCCTATGAGGCAACTTGGTGAGCCAAGATCCATCTACTTTAAACATCTTCAAACTCTCTTTCCTTGAGCTTCACTCTATCCTTCTGTTTCTCCTCTACCTATAACTTTCTTGAAATCAAGTATAGCTGTTCTTTTCTTTCTTTTTTAATTAAAAATTCATTAATAACTCAGTCATTTTCATATATAGTCACCTTATGACCCCGACATTCCCAGTAAGACTTACCTTATAACAATAACCAAAAATAAAAATTAAGAAAAACTATACAACACAATGACTGTGTCTGTCCCATTTAACTAATTTTCTGTACCCATTATGTCCCATCTCTCCGCTGCCATATTTACCTTCATACTTATAGACTTTTATACACACATTGATGTTCCTCTAAAACTAGTTCCAAGTTGTTCAACTTCTTTAAAGCCCATGATCTAAATTTTACATCACCTCAGTCACCATTAGCCATGGGTGTTAATCACCACCACAAATAACCATGACCTAGACCTCTGAATTTTCTCTGATCAAAATCACCTTTCTTTCCATTTATCTTTCTGCTTCAATCCTGTTCTTCATCTTCACTGTAACTTCTGTCCCTCTGCATTCTCCCATTTCATTATTCCTGGACTCACTTCCCTTCAACACAATCTGACCCTGAATTTATCCAATTTAACTATTCACAGTTCTCTGCCTTTGAATTCCTTGCTTTCCCTATCCTACAGTTGTTCATTTCCTGCTTAAGTAACCCCACCATGCATTTTTCTCACTCCTACTCTTGTGCTACTGAGCAATTCTGGGTTCTTATTCTTGTACCGTATTCCTTTAGCTCTTCTCTAAATGATTATTCACAATTCCCATAATTGATGTTCCAAACCTCTTTGTCTCTCCTCCAGACTTCAATCTTATTTCTACTCCCTTTTTCTAAGCAGATGCTGTCACCCACTATTTTACTGATAAGACTGAGGCTAACAGTCATGAGTTTTCTCATCTCACCTATTCCACTCCTCAAAACTCATCTACTCCACCTTTATTCCAGTCTCTGAGGTTAAGCTGATCTTTGCTCATCATTAAATATACCTTTCACTTTTGCCTTTGATCTTGCTCCATTTCTTCACAGCACTTCTCCATATATCATTCCTTCTATCTCACTCAACTTCAGTCTCCCCATGTTTAATAACTTCTTTCTTGCTTCCTACAAACATGTACAGACCTCCTCATCCTTAAGCAACCTTGAGTTTTATCAAGTCTTCCTCTTAAGATGTGGTCATATCTCCTCGCTAATACCATTAAGTTCATATCAATAAGCATCTATTCTCATTGTATCTTCTTCCTCACCAAGGTATTATTTCTCAAACCCTTACAATAAGGTTTTAGACTCACATCTCATGTGAACTGCTCTAAGAATATACTAAAATGTTCTCAACTGCTAAATCCATTTGCCTTTCTTTTGGCTTTATCCTCCTTGATCATTTTGGAGCATTTGACACTGTTGACTATGAGTAATTTGACACTTACTCATACTATCTTCTTCTACAATGTTACTATCCAATTCAGGGGTGGGGAACCTGCAGCCTTGAGTTCCACATGTGGCCCAGTAGGTCCTCAAGTGCAGCCCTTTGAATGTTCTGTGAAGTTTGGATTCAGTCAAAGGGCCACACTTGAGGACCTAGAGGGTCACATATGGCTTTGAGGCTATAGGTTCTTCACCCTTGAATGGTTCTTTTCCTACCTGCCTGACCAGTCATTCTTTGCCTTCTTTGCTGGTTCATCAAAAAACTTCCACACTATGCTTCTATGTGTGTATGTGTATGTATGTATACATATATGGAATTTGGGAGAGAATATATACATACATACACACATATATCACACTAGATGTGTGTATTTATGTCTATATGTGTGTGTATGTATCTGTGTGTG